GGGCGTGGGGACGGGACCGGCGCGGCGGGCTGCAAGGCGGGAAGCGCCCATTACGAATGAACATTACAGCGCGGCAATAACGTTCCGTAAATACCCCGCCAGAAGGGCCGGCGCCCGGCGGTCTTTGCTGCCAGAGCGCGCTCGGCGCCGCCCGCGGCCGATGGGCCGTTTCCGCACAAGGAGCATCTCAGTGGTCGCCATAACCATAAGGCGCCATAATGACCCTAATTTTTGTACCGGGATTATGATGTAATACACTACGACGGGTGGAACATGAAATGGCTGATATATTCTGCAATGAAACTGTTACATTATTTGTTTTTCATCTGCGTCACTTGATGAAATGTGCTTCAATTATAATACTCTATGAGGTCAGAACATAGGTGAGGCTAAGCGATTTACATAATTTCGTTTTGCGGAAAATATGTGACAGAACAGTTCAATGGAAATTCACGACAGTTTAATTCGAGCTAATCAGTTTCAGAAAAAGGGGAAAAAGAGAACATCTGGAAGAAAGACGTAACAAATGAATATAAACGTTGCGATAACATTTCTACATACATAATACCTAGAATATTTCAAGCGTGTAAATGTCGAGACCGTTCACTCACTTTCTGCCATCCACAACGATCGCTTCTGGCCACACGTTCCACACAGACGATGTAATACTGATACTATTTCAGTCTAACAGAATGTTGCCATACTAAATGGTTGATTCTACGTGTTTTATGGATATTAATTGTCTGAAGATGAGGATAGATGATTCCCTGAAATGTGGCTATTAGAAATTCAGAGCTTATTAAAGCAGTTCTTGCATATATTCTATTAATAAATCAGTACTTTGGTGTAACAGTATTGAATTGTATTCAATCTGTTGAATTTAACCATACAACAGCAATATAATGAGGTGAATTTGTGTGAATACCAGAATTCAAAAGGTTAGAACAAGGTAGGATGAAGGTATTTTAAGGCTTAAATGCCTTCAGCCTCGCGACATAATATCAAGTTACGTAATTTGTATGTACGTATGTAATAACTACCCATTAAATAAAAAAATAATGGCAAAATAAAAATAAGTTAAAAAATGTATACACATGGTGGAAGGGTTGCGTTGCCTTTGCTGACGGCTCAAAACAGAATGCACTTGCACACACACAGCCTGCATTCGCTCGTGAAACTGCTATATCAGAGACAGAATGTTGTGAGGGAGCTTATTTCTTTTTAAGGAGCGTAGTTGCAATTAACATAAGACGTTTTAATAATCTCAATTCTAACAAAGAGTCTTATTTAATTTTCTGAAATGAATGTAGTGTGAAATGAAAAACACGGTTGTGAAAGTGTAGCGTCATGGTTCTTTTTAATTTTTATTTTCGCTTCTTCTCATTTTGTGTTATGAGCCCAGGAAATGTAAATTGCCCCGTTAAAGTATGTGATAAACTTTATAATTTCATTTCGTTTCCATAGAAACCTCTGAAACTCACTCTCTGGACCACATCTGGATGCTCATTGTTGGAACTGTAGGGTATTCTGTGTGTGAATCCCTTCATTATTTCAAACAAGTACTCGTTACAGCGACATAAGTCATGTCACAAGAGGTCTGAAAGGAATTGAAGTCTAAAAATCAAAAAAATCAATTTTATTATTTAAGAAATATAAATAACAATGTTCTAATGTTGATATTGCATTTTAAAAGACACAAATATGTGAATTTTGTCATGACCCAGAAACTGAAAATTTATTTGGGAAAACCCGTTCTTTAATCCAATACACATGTGTGTAGACGTCTCTGCTGGTAGAAACAATGCAGGGCATTCTTCATTTGCTTCGCGTTCCACCTTCAAATAATCGAAAATATCAGCCTGCAAACACAAACTGGAATCGGTGTTTTCTTTCTAGCGATAGGAACAACATTGAATTACCATGTCTGTCTACTCACATGCCATTCAAAATTCGTCTCAGTTTTTCTACAAGCCTTTTTAAACAAAAATAATATTTTGCATTCACAACGAATTCTGTTTCTTCTGAATCCATTGAGTGGGGATGGGTGTTGCAACACCGTATTAACATTAGCAACGGAAACTGTTTTTACTGAACATAGCGTGTAAACAGTTATACGGAAATAAAATATAATAGAAATCAGGAAAGGCCTTAGTTAAGGATTAAATTAATTAATTAATATTACGAGAAATGTGCTTAAATTGGATATCTTTACGAATCGAATAATACCATGAACTTCTAAAAATTGATAAATTATTTTTTTGCGTTTCAACAGAAAACTGTTTGATAACATCAAATATAAAATATTTATTGACACAAAACTGACCCAACATTTTACTAACATAAGAAACTATGCAAAGCGTTAGACAGTACTGTAGGACGGATTGCATACTCAGAATTTCCCCTAACGCAAGCTCAGTTGATGTCATACGAACTGATTACTATCCGCCCAACACGACTTGGAAATGTAACGTACGAATAAAAACAGTAACCAGCGACAAAAAGTAACCAAATTTGAACTTGTGTTCATGAAAATCTCACACTCTATTGCACAACAGCACGACAAAACGCCGGTGTTATTTCTCAGAAAATCAGCTCCGCTGTCGGAATAAAAACCCGGTTTTTGCCCATAATGCGTTCGCATTTCGCACTCCACAAAAAGTTACCTCACCCCTTCCCCCCGACGGGTCTCCGGCACATTAGAGCTCGCAGCTCTCTCCGCGCAATCCCGCTGCGCTGCACTCGAAAAAAAGCCCTCGGCGGGAGCGGCCGGTTCTCTTTTTACCCGGGGGGAGGCGGCGGCGAGGAGGTCGAAATCTGGCAATGAGTCTGTCAGGAAATGGACGCAAAAGGGCGTCTAAAGGGTGTATTACAAGAGAAAGGAGATAATGGATGTGAAAAAGTGTGCAAAAGGTGTGATGAAGATGGTGTTGGGTCGTGGGAACACGTAAGGCACAAAAATATGAAAGAGAGGATGAGTCGGTGGTAGGAAAAGAAAAATGTCATAGGACTTGTAAAGGTTTGCACCGAAAAAATATTTACTACGATAATGATGTCTGTGCTGAAGCTATACCGGATATGGAGGAATCATGCAATGAGCACGTGAATGTAAAAATACAATGTGAAAAGGGATAAGGCAAAAGTGGAATGACGGAAACGAAGAACTCTTAGAAAATCAGCCGCGAGGTTACTTTGTTCACATTTTCCACACGTATTATAAATAGGGATTTAAATGTGGTTATCACTCATGAAACGGTTTAGCCGCTACACCACTGGTCTCCCCTGTCACAAAAATGATGGATGTGGAGCGAAAATTACGGTCCGGCACTGATGAACGGCAAATAAGTATCCGGTATTATCAGCAGAAGATTACACTAATGGGGCCGGTAACTACACCTTGGGACACTCCAGTCACCAAGATAGATGTGGAGAGAAGAACACGATCCGGCACTGACGAACGGCAAGGAAATATCCGGTATCACGTGTAGAAGAATAGTCGAAAGAAAAGGACGCTACTCCTTTGGTCATCCCTGTCACAAAAGGATAGTAGGAAGCGAAGTTTACGGCCCGGCACCGAAGGGTGGGGAGGGTAAATCGGATATCACTCGTAGATGACGTCTCCTGCCCGTCCGCTCCTCCGTGGGGCACCCCTGGCACAAAGAATAGAAAGGGAGCGAAAGTTACAGACGGACTCCAAATGATGACTAGGAAGAATTTGGTATCATCTGTCGAAGACTAGCAGAATCGGTTACACCTTTCGTCACCCCTGTCACAAAAGAATAGAAGGGAATCTAAGGTTATGGCCCGTCACCGAAAGGTGGGGAGAGAATATCGGGTATCATCCATAGATGATGAGGCGAATCTGCTTCATTGTGGGGCACCTCTGGCACAAAAGGATAGAAAGGGAGCGAAAGTTACCTACCGGATCCAATGGTGACGAAGAAGAATCCCGTGTCATTTGTAGAAGACTAACGGAATCGGGTACACCTTTGCACAAAAGAATAGAAGGAAAGCTCTAAGGTTTACGGCCGGCACCGAAAGGTGGGGAGAAAAAATCGGGTATCACCCATAGACGACAACGCGTATCCTACCCATCCTCCCACAAAAGGATAAAAGAGGAGTGAAGGTTAAGAACTGGCTCCGAATGGTGCCGAGGAGCAACCCGTATCATCCACAGAAGACCAACCGAAAACGGCTCCACTTGGCCCCCTGTCTCAGGACAACAGGGGAGCGGAGGTTACGGCCCGGCACCGAGGGCGAATCTAAGCCACGCCGCGGGGTCGGACGGCGTGGGACCGGCGCGCGCCGCCGCGGCGAACAGTCCCAGAGGGCGCGGACTGGCGACGCCGGTTTTTTTGCGCGCGAGGTGGCCACGCGCTGTTTCCGTCTCGCGAGAGATCGCGAGGGGGAGCGGACGCCGAGTCGCGGATAATCCGATGAAGACGCAGCTCGCGCGACTGGCCGCGGGGGTGGGGGAGGCTGACGGTAGGGGTGGGATGGAGTGGATTGAGACCGCGTTGCCCACGGGTTCTTCCTTTTCTTTTTATCACAAAGTGGAGCTCCCTGCTGGAAATGGAAGCTGCGATCATCGCTGGAAATGTGTCATTTTTTTCCTGCCTTTTTCTTCACGATGCTTTGTCGTCGTAGTCGTAGGTAACGCTCTTTCCCTTCTTTATGGTTTATGTTCGTTTTAATGTCACGCTGTAAAGAGTTCAAAATCACTGAATGTTGAAAGCAACTTAGATGGAACTGTAGACTTACATGAAATTCCCCTGTATTGAGTTGGAATCAAAGTTTATTCGATTTGATTCGTGGTTGGGTTAGCTACTGATTGCACGTAAGCGGAGAAATGAAATGTTGTCATCAAACATATTACGTTGCGCACGGCATATTAAACATAAGTGAACATCTAAGAATGTAGTTCGTAGGCCTTGCTTCTAACCAACCGCAATAAAATCACACAAACTTTGGTTCAAATCAATACTTCCTGCAACCATGTATTCAACGTTGGAAGTGTATAAAAATCATATAAAACCCTTCAAAAGGGACATCTACAATATATTCATTAGATTCTATTAATCAATCAGAAGTTGTTCGCGCATATTTAAATTCTTTAGTCACAGACCACAGTTGCGGTGACAGGCGCAGATGACGCAGTCACGAACGCATATCCATCACACGCACTGGAAGTGTGTTCAACCTTT